AAAAAAAAAGGTTTAAATTGGAAAAAATTCAGATTACACACTCACTCCAGCCCGTGTGGCTGGGCAGGGTTACCCTCAGGTGAGCAGCAGTGTTGCCTTGGTTCACACCCTCAGTGCCGACAGTTCTGCCAGGACACAAAAATAAGAGACCTTTTGCACTGTAAACTACACTAAACGATTTTTAAACTGACATCACTGAATTGCACTGAGCCAAAAAAAAAAAAAAAAAAAAAGGTGCGTCTGTGGAATTTTTTTTTTTTTTTTCCAAAAAAAATTTGAGCACTACTAGTGGCCTTTTTTTTAATTAAAAAACCCAACGGTGGGATGCTCAACAACATGAGGATATAAAAGTGTCACCGCTTTGAAACCTCTGGCTAAGCCTGGAGGTTCCTGAGTGACAGCTCCTGTTCTGGGATATTTTCATGCCGTGTCTTAATCGCCATTGAGCTGCTGCTGAAGATGAAAACTGGGTTGAAATCTAAATACCAAAATATTCGGTTGGCCTTGGTTACTTGGAGGAAAGATGAACAAGGAGTACCCGCCTGGGATATCGGGAAGGATCCCGAGTACATCCTGTTCAGATGTGCCTTTTTGTTTCGGTAGGCGAAGGTGTCTTAAGCTAAAGAGTTTTATCTACTGTTGTGGAGAACAAAGCTATGCCTGTGTCTGTACAATTGTTTATATTGTATATTTACATATATTCTAATCACCTGTATAAATTGAAGTTGACTTTGAGGCCTATAATGCAGTTGCTACTCCTTGCGATCGTATCCGGCCAGAATCGTTTCCTCTGGCTTAGGAACAGTCTTGCCTTCCAAACCTAACAACTTTTCTGTAGATCTACACTTTAACTTAATCGTGAATCCGTTTTGGGAGTTGGTAGCATTTAAACCAGCAAACACTTAAAAGCTTTATTAAACTTTTTGAACTGATAAGCGAATGGAACTTTTCTTTGCCAGTCGGACGCCACGTTTGAACTGGTGTGAGAGTGAGTCTGTTTTCCTGGTAGTACTGTAGCAGCATTTACAAAGTGGCCTTCAGAAGCCACATTTTATTTACTGGTCTGTGGCCTTTTACTGTGCTTTGTATCAGAGTTCTTAACAAGATTAATAAATCACTCCAGTCTTAATTTTTAAGAGCTTGAGCGGTGCGTGTTCCTTGTAAGGACAAGGTTGGGAATTGCATTTTGGACAATACCAAACACCCCAGTTTTCCACACTGCTGGTCTCAGCTTTAGCTTTGCAACTGGGCCCATCCCAGGCTTCCAAGTCACATTCCAGGTTCTCATCATCCTACCTATATTGTTCCCACTGTCTTGGCTGTTCCCTCTGGAAAAGGAGAGGAGAGAAACATCCTGAGTTAGAAGGGACCCACCAGGATCATCAGGTCCAAATCCTGGCCCTGCACAGGGCCACCCCAGGAATCCCACTGTTTTCTCCTGGGAAAGACGCATTTTGCTATCTGTCTCTTGGACGGTTTTGTCCCATCCCCTTCACATTCCTTTCCTGAGGAAGAAGAGAAGGCATCTATTCCTGCAACTTTTAATAGGAGAGCTGCTTCATTTTGAAAAAATAAGGCTCACAAGTCCCAAATTTGAGATTTGGGACTAGGAGTGCAGGTAGGAAACAGATGATGCCTCAACCAAGTAAAATTTATCTGGTTCTCTGCATTAACTCCTTTGAATTCCTCACCAGCAACTTGTGCTAAAGAGTGAGAAAAATATTTTTTTAAGACCTTGGTGTGTTGTGGAAGAGGAAAAAATTCTCCCCCAAATTTTAGAATAGCTTTATGCCTTCCTGTAAAAGTGCTTATGCCAGAAAACATTTTCAATATCCCACAGGAAAATATAACATAGCATGGCCATGGAAGTGGTCAAACACAGTCAGATTCCCACCAGCGCGGTTCAAGGAATGCCAAGGGAGCGATAAATTAACATTTCAGTTGTTTCGTAATTAGAGGGATAGGTAAAAAGAACAACAACAAAAAAAAATGCTGGAGGGGAAAAATGTGAAGTTTGGGTTTGAAGTTGGCTTGTGTGGGGAAAGGCACAGATAAACAGATGGAATATGAAGGCATTTAATACGAAAAGAAACATCTTTGTGGTTGTTTTCAGTGATACTATTTTGAGTTCCAGAATTTCGGCACTTTTGTCTGCTCTCTGGAGCAAGAATAATTTGGGCGCTGTGGCACCACTAAGCAGATGAAAAATCCAGAAGGACGAAAGAAACCATTTTTTATGTTTTGTTTTGTTTTGTTTTTTTCCCCAGATTTACAATTTCCCACCACAAGCCTGAATACACCCTTGGAAACGCAGTCACTCCGCCCTGCCGAAGCCTGTCAGGCCCCTAAACTTTTTAATTTACTTTTCTAACACGCGGACCTCCCACTCCAGAGCCTGCCCGCCATCCCTTTATCTATTTCGCGGGTTTAAATCCCCTCTTTCCGACAAAAACTGACATAGAAAAGTATAAAGCGATATAAAGAGAGATCCCTCGCTGTGTGGGCGCGCTGAGGGGAGGGCGCGGTTCCCGCCCGCCATTTCCCCCCTCAGGAGGAGGAGGAGGAGGAGGATGAGGAGGGGCCGCGCCGCCTCAGAGCCGCCGCCATGGCGGGCTTCGTGCGGGAGCTGGAGCGGCGGGCCGGGCCGGCCCTGCGGCTGGAGCAGCGGGCGGCCGGAGGGGTGGGCTCCGTGGTGTGGGACGCCGCGCTGGTCCTCGCCAAGTTCCTGGAGACCGGCGCTTGTCCCCTGGCCCGCCGCCACGTCCTGGAGCTGGGCGCGGGCACCGGCGCCGTCGGCATCATGGCAGCCACGCTGGGGTGAGGGGGAGCCGCGCCGACACCTCCCTCGGGGTCTTCACGGGCCTTTAAACGCCTCTTTTAAACGCTGCTGGCGGCCCGGTGCCCTTTTGTTGTTCCCTAACCCTTGTGTCTGTGTTACAGGGCGAACGTGACGGTCACAGACCTCGAGGAGCTGCAGGAGCTGTTGAGGGTGAATATAGAGAACAACAAGCACCTGGTCACAGGGTCAGTCCGAGCCAAGGTACTGAAATGGTTTGTATGAGCCTTTAATGTCTCTGTTCGGCTTTAACGGGGCTAGAATTGAAAGAGAGTTGATTTAGATTAGACACTGGGAAAAAATTCTTCCCTGGGAGGGTGGGCAGGCCCTGGCACAGGTTGCCCAGAGAAGCTGTGGCTGCCCCTGCATCCCTGGAAGTGTCCAAGGCCAGGTTGGACGGGGCTTGGAGCAGCCTGGGCTAGTGGAAGGTGTCCCTCCCCATGGCAGGGGTTTAGAACTGGATGGTCCCAACCCAAACCATGTTTCTATTTGTTTTGTATTCTGTGTTTCTGTAATTCTGCACTGGCTTTGTTAGTTGCTAAACATCAGAGCATTTAAGGGATTCTTAATATGAAAAGATAGTTAATTTTATACTCAGTCCTTCAGTTGTATGTGTTGTTGCTTGTTTTCACCTTTTTTTGGTTTTTTGTTTGTTTGTTCTTTTTAGGGGAGAAGATGTAACAGAATTTCAGCCTCCCCCTGATTATATACTCATGGCTGATTGCATTTACTATGAGGAGGTAAAGAGGACTTTGCAAAACCCCTGAGGAAAGGTTCCTTGGGAGAGGGGGGTGGATTCAGTGTGTTTAGTATGAGAAGTGTTGAAACAAATAATGTGTGTCTTGGTCCCTGTGATTTAGAGGAATACAAAGCACAAGAATGGAAAAGTCATTTTTAATAGATTCAGGGCCATTTGAGTTTCAACCAGGGACTTTGTGTTGAAAAAAACACACAAATTTAATGTTTATTCCTCCCCCCTCCTTTTTTTTTTTTTTACATATGTAATGAAGTATGAAGCAAAAACATTGTGAACTGTTGAAATCATTGGTAAATGAAATGCAAAAGCACCACATCTGCTGGGTTTGGGTTCTCCTCAAGCTTCCCTTGGGAAGGCAAGAGTAGAAATCATGCTCCAGCTTCGTGGTTGTTGTAGTCTGACCCGTGTCCTCAGCTGGAGTTCTGTAGGATGGACATGGAGAGCCAAGAGAAGCTGCAGGAAAAGGGAAATGACCTGAAGAACCCCATGTCCCAGTGCCCTTGCAGTGTTTTTCCCAGCCCCTGGCATGTTGGTCCCATTTCCACACGTGGTGGTCTGGATCTGAGCCGTATCCCGAGAATAATTGAGAAAACTCTCACTTTTGAAACACGTTGGGAAATGCTTCTGTCCCTCAAGGAAGTGCCTGCTCAGCAGTGTGGGATGGTCTTGGCTTTGGTTCTGGTTGGGTTTCCTTGGCCAGTCTGTGAAACTCTTCCCCTGTGCAGTCTCCCTTTCTCCTCTGCTTCCCAGCTTTGCCCCCTTGTTCTTCTCGTCCCAGTTAAAGGGCTAAAAATAACTCCCTTGCAAAGCAGAGCTGGGAATTTCTCCCTTGGGTGAAGGCTTTAGCCAGAGGGGATCATACCAGGGAAATGAACTTGAAATCCAAGTGGGAAACGTTTAACCTCTTTTGGGCAGTCGCTGGAGCCGTTGCTGAAGACGCTGAAGGACCTCACTGGCCCTGACACGTGTGTCCTGTGCTGCTACGAGCAAAGAACCATGGGCAAGAACCCTGAAATCGAGAGGAAATACTTCGAAGTAAGTGGGGGTTTTTAGCACATTTTT